AAAATGTTGGTTTCTACAACATATTTAAAAATCGTCGAGATCGGTGATGAGGTACCTGTTTTCTATAATTATCACGTTCTCCACTACTTCGGTACTCCTCTTAAATCCTTGACACTTTCGGAACGCCCACCGTCGGGAATAGGCGAATTAATGTACGACGGCGATTCCGGAAAACTTGAAATGAGAAAACTGAGTCTCCTTGACGCGTGGAGTTCTAAACGAGCACGGATGAGCGACAGAACGTCGGCGAAGCGCGACAATGCAAGGACTTTTTCTAAAGACGAACAACGACGGCGCATTCTGATTCGCGTCGATTATAAATTGCCGACCTAGCGAAGGTTCGAGGACGGGAATCCTTGAAAGGAAGGAAAGTTAACTCAAGAAACGTTGACAATTTTATTCATTCTTATGGGGATCCGAGATCCTCGATTCCGCTCGTTTCAAACTTCATCGGCGCTGAGAACTCTCGTCCCTTCGTTACTGGGCATCTGCTGAAGTTTCGTCGACAGTTTCTTCGCCGTCTGCGTTATCTGCGAAAAGAAACGCTACAATTCAACAGCGGAGTAGTGATAATAGATGCTGTTAGTAACAATTAGACCGTAGATCTTTACGCAAAATTTAGGATTCCTAAATAGGAATTTATTTTTTACTCTGAAAATACAGGGTGCGGAAATACAGGGGCAGAAGTAACTCCCACGTTTTAAAAAAACGATTGAAAAAAAGCGATACGGGATAACACCGGAAACTTTTTGTTTCTTAAATTTAGATATAAAAAAGTTGTTTTTACTTTATGTGTTAAAAATTATGTCGTCCAAATGGTGGCCTTTACGGCGATACACATTTGGAGTCGTTCTTGAAAGTTTTTCCATCACTCTCGCTAGCATTTCGGACGAAATTCTTTCAATTTCCTCTTGGATGGCCTCCTTTAGTACGACATCATTTTTAAAACATAAAGTAAAAACAACTTTTTCATATCTAGATTTAAGAAATAAAAAAGTTCTTGATGTTATCTCGTACCACTTTTTTTCAATCATTCCTTATTATTCCTGCCGCGCCCTGTATTATTACGTAAACCTTTACTTTCAGTACTTTTTTCATATCATTCCATACTGCGTCCATTTCGAATATTCGAGTAAAGAATTCAGCGTTCGAATCTTCGAAATTCCAGGCTCGCCTCGAAACTTGCCTCGGCTTCCACGTCGATTACAGCAGTGATATCGTTCAACGCTGTTAAATATTCCGAGGCGCTTCCTACGTTTCCCAGAGCCTCGAGAATGATCGCGTAATTAATCAGTATCAGTGGATCCTGGGGCGCCAGCTCGTGGGCCTTCTGCAACACCTTCTCGGCGCCCTCCAGGTCGTCCAAACGCTTCAGAGCGACTGCAACATTAATAGACTGAGAACTGGCTGCGAAAATCAGGAATGATAAGGTGCAACGAAAATTTGTATCTAAAAACACTTCTTACTAGATAACAAAGACAAAAGAACAATACAAATAAAATCGATTCGACTTTATTTATCGCGTAATTTATTTACTCTTCAATTCAATCATTTTTATTGTTCTTTTTTGTATGGATTTCCCGCACCTCAGCCTTCTCTCATTGCATACGTAGTTAACTAATAGTATAAATAATAAGAAAAACACATTGCCAGAACCGCACCTTATTATTGAAATTTTCAAGAATTACTTTCCTGCTTACCAATTTATGACGATATTATCGTTTTTCATGCACTTAGCCGCCATTCTGTCTTCTGGCAATTGTTATCCAGGTTTTTCAAGCGATAAATAATATGAAAACGAATTCGCCAGAGCTGCACCTTGTCATTAAAATTTGAACAATTTTTTTACAACTTTATCGACTTCTGGCAACATTTAAGCCCCGACCTAGACTTCTGGCAGTAGCATTACGCGATTTCTACAGTTAAAGACTATAACTACACAAAATTTCATGGCTGCACTCAAAGATTTTATTTTGATTAAATATTAACATGTTTGACCGCCCGCCCACGCTTTCAGCTCCGGGAACGACTTCTGCCTGCAGCGCTATTTTCTTTGTTATCTAGTAAGGAGTGTTTTTAGATACAAATTTTCGCTGCACCTTATCGTTCCTGATTTTCGTAGCCAACTATTAGACTATAAACTCTTTGTCGCGTTCCTTCTTCGACTTTCGGCTGACCACCGCGCTAAAGTAAAATCGATGTCGTTAGAATTTCTCATGGGACAGTGACACACTATCCTATCCTTTTACTTCGAGTTGGGCGAACAGGATGATGAATTCGTAGGGTTGGACACAGGAAACGGAACTGGCACTATTCTTACGGTCTTCTAGATCGCGTGGACACTTCAAAGAGACTGCAAGGCCGATCGAACTCTTTGTCGCAGAGCTTTTTTGTTTGTTTGACTTATAGGTGGAAATAGAATCGAGAGGATTAGAATTTCTTAGAAGACAATAACGTAACACGCTCTCTCGCGTCGGAGAACTTCTTAGAGCTTTTTTATAGATTTCATTGGGCCACGTTTCGCTGGCCAGACGTTTTCTATAGGAATTGAATGGAGTCTTTGTTAATAGTAGAACTATTTTGTTCTTTTTCTGACTTTTGTTTTGTACTACTTACTTTTTAATTAAGTAACTATTATCCTGCAGATTTAATTTTTAAGAATTGTCAATTTCAAAAAGAACAGAGAAAAATGGAGGCACTGAAGGGTGGAAAGTGGGCACAGAGAATGGAGTCTTTGTTAATAGTAGAACTATTTTGTTCTTTTTCTGATTTTTGTTTTGTGCTACCTACTTTTTAATTAAGTAACTATTATCCTGCAGATTTAATTTTTAAGAATTGTCAATTTCAAAAAGAACAGAGAAAAATGGAGGAACTGAAGGGTGGAAAGTGAGCACCGAGAATGGAGTCTTTGTTAATAGTAGAACTATTTTGTTCTTTTTCTGATTTTAGTTTTGTATTATCTACCTTTTTTAATTAAATGACTATTGTCTTGCAAATTTAATTTACAAAAATGATCCCAAACCAGAGGAGATATCGATAGCCACTAGGTAAAGACTGATAAATCTAAATTTAGTCATGGCTATTGTACTGGTCGGAATTAGTTTCCGAGGAACGAGCAGTGATGCATAATATGCAAGCATATGACGGATAAACAAGATTTATTAATTTCTTTGTGGACTTTAGATATATGTTTTACACAGTAATGTGTTTTGATATTATATTTTTATATAGAAATTAAATTTTATATTTCTCCATCGTGTAGTATATTTCGGTAACTTTTTTTTTTTGCCATTTTGAAGTATTATTCTTGAAATATCTTAACGATGTATGGGAGGTATCAATCAGAGACAACTGTATACGAAATTTGAATTAATCGAATATCTTTGTAATCGCGACATTTAAATAAGCAAACTTATAGTTATAAGCTTGTTTTTAATGTCAAGTTTCTAATTTAACACGAATCGTTTTGTTTATATTTAATTTTAGAACGAGGCTCTCAATATTTGTAATCATTAATAAAGAGACTTGGCATTGAAACTCCCTTGAATTCAACTTCAAATAATACAAATACAGAGAATACGTAAATTTATACATGGATGAATACAATACAAGATTGGTACAGTTCTTATTCGCCACAGCAAAGATTGGTATAGTTCTTTACTGTGGTGGCTAAGAACAGACGTACGACCGGAACGGTAAAAAAAGCTTCGGTGGTTGAGAGTAGATATACGACCGCAAAGGGTTAAATCCCAACCCTAAAAATAAAAAAGTTCTTACGTCCAAGCAGAAGGTAGGGCATGTGATTCTTGGGATCAGCGCTGACCGCGGCGCACAAATAGATCGCAGCCGATGCGGGTTGGCCAGTGGCGAGAAAAACCATCCCCAAATTATAGGCGGGCAGGAAGGCCATCGGGTTCAGATAGTGAGCCCTCTTCAAACAGCTAATTGCCTGGAAGCAAATTGGAGCGTTAAACCGATTTGCTTTGCAATTCCCGTCGCCGCTCGATCGACAAACAGCGCGCGTGTCTCGCGCGAAACAGTCGTTGGGAAAATATGTATACGTGACATTGATGGGATCGGTCCACATCAACGATAATTCAGGATTTGCTGACCGAATACGTAAATAGGATAGGCACGGATTATGTAAATGCCGCGAAACTACAGCCGCGGTCTGTTATCGTATCAGAGAGAACTGAGATAACAAAAATTTAAGAGAGTGTCGCAATTTTTTTTGTTTAAAAAAAGATTATCGAATGTTTTTGGAAGCTACAGGAATTTCGTCGAGTATAATAGAAACGTGATTCGTTATCGAATCACGGCTACCTCCTTTACAAAGGTAACCAAAATTTAAGAGAGCGTCAGAATATTTATTTAAAAACAGACTGTTGGACGTAGCAATCTCGATCTTCGTACACGCATTTCTCCATGATTTAAAGGGATGTCACAATTTTTGTTTAAAAAAGAGACTATCGAATGTTTTTGCAAGCTACAGGAATTCCGTCGAGTATAACAAAGTCGTAATTGGTTATCGAATCACGACTATCTCCTTTACAAAGGTAACAACAATTTAAAGGGACGTCAGAATATTTATTTAAAAACAGACCGTTGGACGTAGCGATCTCGATCTTCGTACACGCATTTCTCCAAGTTGTCTTGAGCTACAGAAATTATTTCAGATATAATAAAGCACCGTTATTAAGTAGACATCTTCCAGACTGTCTTATCGTGTACGTTTTTTGGAGAGAGAGTGGCAAACGCACGGTTCTTTTTCATCGGAGCTGCAAAGCAGTTTCCCTCGCGCTTCTTATCGACGACGCGGCTAACTAAAAGCCGAGCTTTGAATTTAATCCACTTAACTTCGGCGTCTAGGACCACTAACAAGTGAGCGGTGTCCCGTGGAATAATGGGAGAGTGGATTAAGAAACTTTCGCGCTCGGTCCTGGATGTCGAATAGAGGTCCTTAAACTCACGCCGATCCTCTTCCTCTTCCAGAAGGGCTCTATTAGCTGTCGTGAAAATATTTAATAACGTTCACTGATTCTATTTATCGCACTGCACCGGCCAACTGGAAGGGAATTTTTCACGACGTTCCAATAATTGGTAGAAGAAACTACACCCTTTTGCGAAGCACAAGATGTCGCGCTTCGTTGAGCTAATTGAACCTCCGAGGATCGATACGAGCAATAAATTATCGGGGGAGTGCGCGTTGCAAACATTCATTCTGCTCTGTTCTTCGAAGCGAAGGAGAAATGTTGGATTATTTGCCCCTAGGTCTACTCTTCTTGTTTTCAATTTAGGGGATGTTGTCAGTAATTAACAGACATCGTGTGTAATACACCGTCTGTCCCAAAACTAACAGGAATGGCTCTAGTTTAATAAATGTAGTGGCGGTGGCGGACGGTGAGACAGTGAGTAGCATAGCCGACTACCGATAGCCGATTTTTCATGGTTGCTAATCAACCAACGATGCCTATTATATAGATGATTTTACGAGGAACAAATGAATCGAAAATGAGCAACAGAGTTTTTTAATTTGATCTTTCAATTTTGAGAAAATTGGTCTTGAATCTCTCCTTGGAGCACGTGTACCATTTGATTAGTGTGTCTGACCATCACTCGCCATTTCTACTTATGTTGCTAATTTATGTTGCTTCAGCTACGTTAGTGTCCATTTCGATTAGTTTCAATCGTTTAAAAAATTGCAGTTTGCATAGAAGAGGTATGGTACATCAGACAATGCCAGAATCAGTAGAACTGGTCAGTCGTGGTCAGACATGGTTCGTCAAACCTTTCGATTTATTTTTACGGAAACGAAGCTTCCTATGAAAAAATGTCATTCTTCGTTTTCGATTCGTTTTCAAGCAAAGAATCATCCCCTGTTGATGACGTTATATGTAATTTTTATCCTTGTGGAACACTATTTATTTTATGTCGTTCGCATTTGACCACGTGTTCCTTCGCGAATCATTGAACTCATTGAAATCATTTTCTAACAGTTAGTTAGTAGGTGACTGTCTCTTGTTTTCCGTAACTCAGATGTTTCCGATACTAATGTCGCAACTACGTTTTACTCTCTTAGGAATTGAATTTCGAAATATCAAAACTAACTGCGCGGTAATTTTAATAATAAATAAAATTTCTCCTACGTCCCCTAGTATGTCCCCGAATGTATTTTATTTTATACTCCCAATGAAATTTATTACTCTTCACTTAATCTCTCTTTAAACTTCAGGTGCTACAAATAAGTTACTAAATAATTTATTAAATCCCTGTTTCTCCAACATCTTAATCTCTCTTCAACTTTCAGGTACTACAAATAGGCTTCTAAATTAAATATTAACTTAAATAATTCCTGTTTTTCCAACTTCCCCATCCACCGCGTGTAAAAAGGCCAGCACCGTCCTCCACGTTGTTAAGACTCTGTACCCACTGAATCTCAGTCGAAGAGACTTTGTTTAGTACAAATCGCCCTTTTCATCAGGGACTTCCCAGCGAGTAATTCGCATTCGTCGATTTTCCTTTGGCCAGGCTGCACCTCGCAGCCTTGCATTACAGGTTTCTGTCTTGGCCTCTAATCGAGTTTCTCTGGGACGCAAGTGTGCCTGTGTCGTCAATCCTGCAACCCGCTGCACCCTTTAATGGGTTGTTAAATTAATCATAGCCGTTAAATTCGCCAGCCTGGACAGATACACCTGGCTTCGGATGAAATCAACGCCGATTTTTACAGTTTCTGAGAAAAACACTTATCTAATATCTCTGTGCTCAATAATTCTTCTGAGGATTCTTCTGTGTTCGATAATTCTTCTGAGTTTCTGAGGAAAACACTTATCTAATATCTCTGTGCTCAATAATTCTTCTGAGGATTCTTCTGTGTTCGATAATTCTTCTGAGTTTCTGCGGAAAACACTTATCTAATATCTCTGTGTTCAATAATTCTTCTTCTAATAAATAATACAGAATTCTTAAAATGAGAATTCTCGAGTTCTTCTACTGCACGATTCACGAAATACAAATAGGACTGTTGATTTAATTGGATCCAAATATTGTATTTAGTTCGATAACAAAACTGAATCGCATTTCTTCTGAAGTCCTTACGGTTCTTTAGTTCATAGAAGTGCGAGGCGATAAGCCTGTTAACCCTTTGCACTCGAGACGTGACTCTCAGTCACCATTAGGCTTCACGTAGCAAATCTACAATACCTAATGTTTCTTTAGGTTTAATCGTAGGTTTATAATTAAAAGCAATTTCTTTGGAGCTCGAAGTTTAGATGTAAAGACGAGGTAAAGATGACCTTATATTCTCAAATCTAAATAGCTTAGAATTCATGGCAATGGAATGCTAAGAAACATCTCGAGTTGCTGGTAGATACCAGAAAAAATGCCTCGAGTGCAAAGGGTTAATATAAACACCCGGGCCAAAACTCGAGTTCGACCATTGGGGTGTCGGTTATGTAAGATCAGAGTGTGTAAACCAGGATCCGTTATAGGGTGTGCGAATAATGACTCAATGTGTAAATAGGAGTTTACTATATTTTCGATAGGTCTCGACTCCACGAAAGTCGATGCAAGCCTGAACCATGTCAGGAAATTTCAGCCGTGAGGACACATTGCCTGCTTCAGCCATTTAGCTATCTCGAATTTTCTAACAGTTAGTTGAGAGACAACCTCGATAGTGAATGTGACCGCCTGTCTGACGCATTCGTAAAGTCATAAGAAAATTAATTTTATATAATACTCGATATTTCATTTTATTGTTTCCAACCATAATCCAACAAGGACAGTGACATTTCCCAACATCTTCTTCATTTTGTTAATGTTGCACGAGACGTGGATGCCTTTACTTTGAATTAATCGAGAAAGAAGTTTAATATCGCCATTTTAAGTCTCGATGTAAGTCCCTGGCGGAAAGTTGGCAAGAAGTTCAGGTATTGCGATTATTTTTCAATTCGAAGCGAGATGAACGAGGAGACCGTGTCCCGGGGCACTTTGATCTTGCCAGGAATTCAAATATCTGCGGTGCAGAGGAGCCATCTCTCAGGTGGCCAGTAGGATCGGAAGGAAAGGTGCGTCTCGTGATTACGTAGCCAGGGATTCTCAATAGTCCCCATATGTAACCCCTCTGGTAGCTTCGAAATACTACATACAGTCAGTGTAAGAAGTATTCGTACAGCAACCAATTTAAAATATAATTAATAAGAAAAGAAATACATAAGAGGTTACCATTAAAAATAATAAACTTTATTAATTTATAAATAAACTTAATAATTAACCAGCATTCCTACATATTTTTAAAGTAGAATTTGCGTAAATTAATTATTTCTTCCCCTAAAATTTACTAATAAAATAAATATATGATGTTTTATTTTGAATTCATTCCTGTACGAATAGTTACTTACACTGTCTGTATGCATACATAAAAACACTAATAATTAGACTGCGGGTCTTTATGCAAAATAAAATCTTCGTGAACGCGCCTACAAAAATTGAACCTAAATAGGAATTTATTTTATTCTGCAATCATTGTAACATGAACTTTACTTTTGCACATTCTTCGCACTTTGTAGTTTCTTGCACATTCAAATTTCCTATAAACCCATAAAGATCCGCAGTCTACTAATAATGATCTTAAATATTCTAAGGCTACTCAATGCCAACATCTGTCTCGATTATTGCAAAGAAAACAAGACAAGAATGCTTGCAATGATCGAGGTTCAACGAGGAGGAGCTCCGCTTACATTACTACGGATACTTCACTGCGATGCAGTTATCAAGGTTCTCATATATTAGATTGGGATTTCAAGCTAAAATTATATAGTGCAATCATTTCACCTTCTTACCTAATCATCAAAAATAATAAAAAAAAAAAAATTAATAAAGATACGAATACTCTCTACACCCACTGTAATAGTGTACTCGTTCAGTATTACAGTATTCATTCACATTAATTTCTTTTTTTAATTATCTTTGATGATTAGGTAAGAAGGTGAAATGATTGCGCTATTTCATTTTTTGGGAATTGATCGGTGTACGAATACATTCTGCACCCACTGTAATAGTGTACTCGTTCAGTATTACAGTATTCATTCTTATTAATTTCTTTTCTTAATTATCTTTGATGATTAGGTAAGAAGGTGAAATGATTGCACTATTTCATTTTTTGGGAATTGATCGGTGTACGAATACATTCTCCACCCACTGTAATAGTGTACTCGTTCAGTATTACAGTATTCATTCACATTAATTTCTTTTTTTAATTATCTTTGATGATTAGGTAAGAAGGCGAAATGATTGCGCTATTTAATTTTACCTTGAATTTCCACCTTCGGCAATCATAAGAGACCAGAATGTGGTTGAGGGATACTGAGAGGGGGCGATTACGTCCATAGGAAGGTACTCACAGCGACGAACTTCTGCTTCCCGTAGAAACACATACCGACGTTGTTCCACAAGGCGTGCGATTCCGGGATCGATTGAGCCGCCAACTTGTACTTCGACAATGCCACGTCGTACTCCTGGTGATTCTGAAGTGCACAGAACGTTTTAACCCTCGAAACGAACCGTGTCCCTGCGCCCTCTGCATCCCTCCATTCTCCCGCACCGGAGGCTGAGTAATTGTAATTAAATTCTCGAAGAACATTGCAGAAACCAAGCGCATACTTCGGCCACGAAACGTGTACTTTGTTCGGGACCAGTGGGGCTCTTTGTGTCAGTGTTTTTGTTTACACAGAGTGCATTTCGAGCAGTGAGAAATTGAATCTTCTAACAGGAGCCCCTGACTTTCGATAGGAAGCTCACTATATCCGAACCCGTATTTTCGGGATGCAATCTCAACGCTAGGTTTTTGGAGACATTTTTACCTATTACAAATTTCACAAGGGTTTTTGCAGGAACTGTTTCTGCTTTTCGTCGAGCATTTATGCAACAAAGACTAGCATGTGTATATTCGAATTCATTTCTGTTCTCCTAATTAACTCATTGCAGTCGTATTAAATTTAAGCATGGCTATTGTACCGGTCGGAATTAATTTCCAAAGAACGAGCAGTGATACATAATACGCAAGCTTATGAAGGATAAACAAGATTAATTATTAATTCTTTTGTGGACTTTAGATATATGTTTACACAATAACGTGTTCTAACGAAATGCTTTTATGTAAAAATGATAGTTTTTATTTCTCCATCATGTGGTATCTTTCGGTAACTTTCTTCTTGTCGTGTTTAACCGACTTCGAAAAGGACGAGGTTACTCAATTCGACGTGTATATTTATTTTTCTTTTGTTTTTTCTTTTTTCGAGTATTGTTCTTGAAATATTTTAAGAAACCAGAATACCTAATTACACTTCAACACGATTTGTAAAATATTATTATATTCGGAATTCTACCAAGTATTTTCGACTATTTGGTACTTATTACAATCTGTTACAAACAAAAATAACAATATTCGATATATTGTTTAGTACTCCAAAATGGCAAAAAAAAAGTTTTTCCGAAATATACCTCACGATGGAGGATTATAAAATATAGTTTTTAAATAAAAATATAATATGAAAACACGTTATTGTGTAAACATATATCCAAAGTTCACAAAAGGATCAATAAATCTATTAGTTTAGCCTCCACAATCTCGCATATTATGTATCACTGCCTGTTCACGGAAAATTAATTCCGACCAATACGAAACTCGTGTCTGAATTTAACACGACCGCAAAGGGTTAAATACTGAGAAATTTACATAAATTGGAGCTATTCTTAATAAAAATTCAACCGAAAATTCGAGTACACGTCAGGAATTAATTCTTGAATTTTAATTATCGATTACTTGATTCGAGCTTTGTCCATCGTTTACCTGGATCACGTAGGCTATGGGCAAAATCGCCCTGGTGCAGTCCGGGGCGTAGGCAAGGGCTGTTCCAAACTTTTGAAACGCTCGCTGAACGTCGCCGATTTTAAGATAGAGTAGGCCCAGATCGGTGGCTGCCTCGACGCTCTCGGGATTCCCGCTGAAAAATCCAAAATAATTAAATTCGAAAAAAAATCAGCGTTTCGCGAATTCCCTCGATTACTGCACAAGTGGAATTTCTGGTTAGGTATTTCTACGTCCGCCACCCTGTTCCTCGGTCACTGGAATTGCGTGGCCTGAATATTCCGCAGTCCTTTTTCGCTTATCCACAGAAAAAATGTTTCAAAAAAGGGAGTTCAGGGGAGCTTATTTTTGTCGAGCATCCCAAAATCAACGCTCGACACGCTGACACGAACCAAAAATATTTATTCCGAGAGTTAAGCATGAAAAGAAACGAATTTCGATGAAATTCATGAATTTTCACGAAGCTACAATAATAAATACCACGATAGATGTTTGATTACTAGACTGCGGATCTTTATGTAAAATAAAATCTTCGCGAACGTGCCTATAAAAATTGAACCCAAATAAGAATTTATTTTATTCTGCGAATATTATAACTTGAACTTTACTTTCAATCTTTTTTATATTCTTGCATATTGTTTGTATTTTATCGTTTCTTACACATTCAAATTTCTTATAAATAAATTCCTATAAATAAAGATCCGAAGTCTGTTGATTACGTAGTCTTCAAGGTTTTAACGATGGAACGCATAGCTCATCGAATTTTTATCCGATTCGCTTGATTCAACGCTTAAATTGAAGGTAATTAAGTTTATACGCTAATGAACCTCGACTCTTAATGAATTATCATTATAGCATAAAGTTATTGCAAAATAACGGCCGATAGGTATCGTTCAATTTCATGTTTTTTGCCGCCATTTTTGCAATTAACAATTTTTTTTTTTTTTGCAAATTGAGGTTCATACGCATTTTACGTACCTA